TTTTCTAACTATGGAATTTCAAAGTACCAAGAAAGGTATGGTGTTGCATCAAAGAAAGTATATCAAAGAAGTACTAAAGAGATTCATGATGGATGATTCGAATCCTGCATTCTCACTTGTCAAACCAAATTTAAAACTGGAGAAGCATGGAGAGGAGGACATAGTCGATGTCACTTTGCTCAAACAAATTGTAAGATCTCCGAGATATGTGTCCAATAACATACCTGATACAGGTTTCACTTCTACATGGAAGGAATAAGCACATAGAGGCTAGGTTTCACTTCATAGGAGAAGGTAAATCAAAGTGAACTTGAAGTAAGATATGAGTGAAACACATTGACCGGCATTTTCACCAAAGAATTGAAGATCAGCAAATTCTTGACTTTCATAAAGAAATTAAGAATAGTTCAGATCGATTATAATTAGTGTGTGTTCGAAAACTTAGATTATAAGGGGGAATGTTGAGATATAATCCAAATTAATTAGTTAATTAGTTAGCAAATTAGTTAGCTTGTTATGTAAGTTACTTAGAGTACAAGTAACTTTGTATGTGTAGATAACTTTCATAATACAATTTAATTCCATACAATTATTTTTCTCTCTCCTTCTTCTCACCCTAAATGTCACACACTAACACATATATCTTTATCTCTTTGCCACCGTTCTCATCTGAACGATTGAAGTTCATAATTCTTTTTACACAGTATATTCATTTTTGGGTCATTGGCATTCATATATCTGTTATTTGATAAAATGCCAAAGAAATTGTATGTTTTATTTGTTCTCATTTTCTGCATTTGATATGTTAATGGAATCCTTATCTACTAGCATAATTTTCACCTCCACAAATGTATATGCTGTGTAGTCAATTCAAGCATTCATTTCTAATAAGACCAGAACATGTTTATATAAAATTGAATTATTGTATATTAACTACCACATATAGTAACCTTTATTATGAGAACATGTTTATTTTAACCCAAAGAGTGCTATACTATTATTATCACTTACTATTCTCATTTTGGATTCTCATAAGATCAAGGCATGATTTCCTCTGCAGTTGGCGTGAAAAGAATGTTTTGTAGTAATCTTCTACACTAATTGTTTTGAACAATGCAGGCCTTTCAGGAGTAACAAGTGTTGGTGTTGGACCTATAACTTTGCTCATTTGAGGCCTGTGAAATGCGGCAATGGAAATCCTCTCTTTTTCGAGTTAACTGTTGCTCGATGTTCAACACTCCGATAAATTCCATTGGTTAGTATCTGCATAACCATTTAAGAGCAAGTCATAATAATTCTTAAACTTCAAGTAGGCGTAAATTTTCTAATTCAATGTAAAACTTGCTCATGCATATCATTCGCTTTTGATTTTGGTTCTGATAAACTCGTAAAAACATATGACTATGTTTATATCAGTTACCTCTAAAATGTCTCCAACGTTTATGACAAAAGCGTCGGTGAGTGGTTTAATAGGAATCCATTGTCCATCTTTTCTTATTTGCAGGCCTTCAACGTCAGTGGCTTGGAGAAGGATGGTTAAAGCCGCCGCATCAGAATGAGGATTCAGTCCAATAACATTTTCTGGTTGGGGACAAGGAGGGTAGAAATTCATTCTCATTGATTGAGTTATATCATCAAATACCTCCAGCATTTCGTTTGGTTCAACTTTAAGAGCTTTTTCCACATGTTTGATGATTGCGATGCAAACTTTCTTCAGTTCTAAACAATAGGTTTCTAAGTTTTCTCTGCAATATGAAAAAGTGTTGGTTAGAATAATATGATTATATCGTCACTCAGCATTTTTTCGCTATCTAAGATTGATAACATTGTGGCTAACCTTAATGGCTGGGGAATATTTGGAAATATGCGGGGATTCCTTGCATAGGAAGGAAGAGTTGTAGTGAAAAATAAATCAGCCCATTCTAACTTCTGATTCTCAGATACAACAAACATTTGACCAAACCCTTCCATATCTTCCGGGGTTTGCTGAAATTTCTTCTTCTCTTCCACCGGTATACTTAGGAACTTTTGAACGCCTATCTTCACATTTTCCACCAAGGAGGGATCGACTCCATGATTAATCAGCTGTAATCAATTTTAGTTTTATGAATTATACAATGTTTTACTAAAGTCAGTATACGTGGATTCAAGAGACCTGTACACCACATATTTATCTAAAATCTTAAGACACGTCTAGTGTATAACGTAACTACTCAGACTTAAATTCAACGATATATAATTATATGTTTAGAGGAGTAATGGTTCAAACCTGGAAGAAACCCCATTGTCTACATGCATGATCTAGCTTCTCTAGCTCAGTTGCATCTTCAGACAACAATTTACTTAGCTCAATGACTGGAACTTGTTCCAAAGAAGTTATATTTGATACATCAATAGGGTCTTGATTTGGATGAAGATATTGTTGTGGGACTTGTAAGTTAGGACTCTTCGCAAGCTCTTGGACAGAAGGCACCAATAACGAGGTTCCAAACTTTGACATTTTTCTTCAAATCTCAAAAGCCTGAAATCAATAGGTATGCATCAAAATCCATGTATACTAAAACATCTTTCATTTTAACACCACCATCAAGCTTTGACCAACACAAATATATATATATATATATATATATATATATATATATATATATATATATATATATATATATATATATATATATATATATATATATATATATATATATATATATATATATATATATATATATATATATATATATTATATATATATATATATATATATTTCTTACCTTATAATTAGCTTAAGATAGCTGTGAATGATGTTAGAAGATGTGAATGGGATGAATCAAGACGGTTCAAGTTTATATTGGTGAAGAATGAAAGACAGAGCACGTTTCTACAACGTCGGCGGAGAGAATATAAATGTCACCTACTCATTTAATTTTTTTTTTATCACCTACTCAATTAAAGTCGTGTGGTTTTGTATTTCACTTAATTTTTTATTTCAGTAGTTAATAAAGATAAAATTGAAATAAAATAAAAAACAATTTATTATATTCTTAAATAAATTTAGATAGTTGGTCGTTATCGCTTGAGCCAGGTTAAGCTATAAAAGTTTTTTCTTTTTTTTTTTAGTATTCTCGAACCGAATCGAATTGAAATTAAATTAATTCAACTGTTTTATTTTATTTGTGAATCAAATTATATTATATAAATAGTTTCAAAATCAAATTCAAATCGAAACTGAATTAAAGTAAAATTATAATTGAATTGAATCTTATCTGAAAATAAAAAATATTAAAAATAAATTTATTTTGATAAAAAATAATATAAAAATAGTTTAACAATTGATATTGTTCAGAATTTCAAAACAGTATATCAAATAAATGATTATGGTTTGATTTGAGTAAATTAAAACGATTTTGTTCAATTCGAATATAATTTTACTATAATTTAATTTGATTTGATTCAATTTTCTCACTAAACATATCGGAATAGTCCTAATTATATGGTGTAATTCTTCTCTCTATTTATATATTTTGTTTTTAGAATGAAGATTCATTTGATCCCTCATAAAAAATTAGAGAAATCAAATTTGTCCTTCACAAAAAAATGATTTAATTTAATTCTTTATAAAATTTAACATAATCATATTAATTCTTATGTTAATATGAGTTTTTTTTTCTACTTTTAAACTATCACTGGACCGTCAAGTTGAATTTTATTTTTAATTTTCATTTTAAAATATTAAATTGATTTTTATTTTTAATTTCAGTTTGATTTTTAAACATCAGATTTGAAAAAAAAATCAAAGAATCGAACCCAAGACATTTATGCCACATCTTATGACCTTACGACTAGATTAATGTACATTAATGACAAATGATTCTCATGATTTATAGTAATATTAAACAATTCTGAATTTAAAACAACAAAAAATATAAGATTTCTACCCATGGAATCTCAAATCCAAGTCCCTTTAAATTAGATGATAATCACTTTACTGTAAATATGAAAAGTAATCTAAGAGAGAGTGAATGAATTAGATTAACGGATATTAGTGAATTTTTCTCGATTATGAATATTAGCAATGTTGTTCTTATTATTCAGGAACTATTATGATTGTTAAAGCGCTGAAAATGGATTGCTTTCTCTTTTGTATTATAAAATAAAAAAAGTGGTAAGTCTTTGTAAATGTGTTAGATAGTTAAGAGAGTCAAGTAGACCGATTGTAATGCATCTGACATAGTAAAATATCTCACAGGATGTGAGGGGACTGGAATACCATTGTTTGAAAAGAGGAATTAGGATATATCTTGGCGTTCTTTATTTTTCTGCATTTATTTTCAGTGCTTTAACATTTATAACCGTTCCAAAAAAATAAGAACAACATTTCTAACATTAATAATCGAGAAAATTTCACTAATACCGGTTAATCTAATTTATTCACCCCATCTTAAATTACTTTTCATATTTACAGTAAAATGACTATCATTCAATTTGAAGGACTTGGATTTGAGACTACAATGGATACAAATTTTATATTTTTTCGTTTTAAATTAAGAATTATGTAATATTACTATAAATCATGTGAATTATTCGTTACCAATGTGCATTGGGCTAGTGGTAGAGACATAGGATGTGGCTTAAATATTGAGTTTAATTCCTTTTTGGACTTAGTTTTATCTTCTTTTTTTTTTAAATCTGAATTGTTTAAAAATAAAATCAAAATTAAAAATAAAAATTAATTTAATATTTAAAAAATGAAAAATAAAAAATTAACGGTCCAATCATGATTTAAAAGTAGAAAAAAAATCAAATTTAAACAAAATGTTAATAGAGGAACTAATATAGTCCGATTATATTTTGTAAAGAATTAAATCGGATTCATTTTTTATAAAAGACTAATTTGAGTTATGTAGTTTTTTTGAGGAACTAAAATAGGACTTCATTCTTGTTTTTAAAATAAAATGATTTTCAAAGAATTTTTAGTATAAAAGAATGATAGCAATTTTGACATTAATTCTTGAACTAACAAAAAGAAAAAGAAAACTAATTTCACTTTTCAAAAGACAAATTATAATATTACTATTAACTTGATTTTAAACAAATTAGTAATCTATAATATTTGTATTGAAATCTCAAAAAATCTTATGAGAATAAGATTAGGCTAACATTCGACTTAACTTGTATAAATTTCAGTGTGATCTCTCTAATCTTATCTCTTTAAATTATGTTATTTATTTTATTGTTTTATTTTTTTTTTCCATTGTTTTTCTCTTTGATTTCATGGATACTAGCATAGTTTTCTTTTTAAATGATAAATTTTTTAAATTAATCCATATTATCCATGAAATAACTATTGAGGTAAAGATGGAAAGGTTGGACACATTAAATCACGAGTATGAACTTTTCAAAATGAAGCCTACAGTTTACCCATATCAACTTTGGAAAAAATATTTTCAAATGAGGAATTGGTTGTCTAATATACTTGGATGCCTAAACCATAGTTGGCAACCTCAAGCCATTGTGATTTATGAATATAAGGATTTAGCAACCATGAACACCTCTCTCTCTCTCTCTCTCTCTCTCTCTCTCTCTCTCTCTCTCTCTCTCTCTCTCTCTCTCTCTCTCTCTCTCTCTCTCTCTCTCTCTCTCTCTCTCTCTCTCTCTCTCTCTCTTCTCTCTCTTTTTATCTCTCTCTCTCTCTGGTAAATTGCGAAAACATGAGATGTAGCTGAAGAGACATGCTGATAATAAAGAAGGTGACAAGAAGAACGGGAAATTTATTACACTAAAAGATACTAACATCAAATATATGTAATCAGATGATGAAGACTATCAAAGTGAGATTAATAAATACAAGAAACTCATGATTCAAAAATCCAAAGAATTCCTAAGGCATGAAAACAAATTTCAAGCTTTCAAGAGAAACATGAAGAAATATAACCTTTCATTCCCACATGCCACCAATGTGTAAAGGAATGGAACATAAAATCAACTTGTTCTCAAAACTAGAGAAGAAACCAGAATTAGAGAAGATCCAAAAAACCGTGAAAAAAAGTTAAGAGAACCTACATATCTTGAGATGACAATGATGTGGAATCCTATGGTAAGTAAGATGAGAACATGTGTTTAATGGAAAATCATTAAGAAGATGATGCAGCCTCTTATTTTTCTTATCCAGACTTGTCTCACATGTCTAAAAATACAACTAAAAAAACAAGTAAATTAGAACAAATTGTTTCTATCTCCAAAGATATTATTTTTTCTCTCAAATTGAAAAAAAAAACTTATTTGAAGAAATTGAAATTCTTAAAAAGAGACAAGAATATATGATTCAAAACTCCTCATATTCTCACAAAGTCTTAGATGAATCTTTAAAATGAGATCAATGTGGAAAACAAACCTTGAGAAATATGAACCTAAGAGGATAAAGAATAATGTGGAGTACAATTTGAAAACTATTAACACTACAACTTTTGGTACATATGAGTGTTTTTGTGCTTCTCGTCGTAATACCAGAAAAGAAACATGAGAGACCTTTCAAATTATTCATGAAAGAACAATTGAGGTAAAAAAGGATAAAATCAACTCATTGACACATGAGTGTGAGCTAGCTATAATAAAACCTCAAGTCAAATATGTAGGACTTCTAAACATGGTCTATTAGCTTTGTAAATCACTTAACAACTCTAGGTAAATCTTTTCTACATTAAGATAACATGGTAATTTATCTATATTCTAACTTCAGTTATTACAATCTCTTCCTCATTTGCAAAGAGTTGGATAAGAAGTCCATAAATTAAAAACAAAATTTTAGTATGGTCATTAAGTCAACTTTATTCTTCATTGAAAAAGAAAATAAAAATTTATCATAGAAAATAGATTGTCTTAGATAAAAATAAGTCCTTTTATTTCACAACTATACTTCTTCTTATTCTTCTTCAAACAACTTTGGTAAATCTATCAAGTGCGAAAAAATACAATCTTTTTAGAAAACAAAACTAATGTTTTATACAACACACTTGATAATTTTACCAAATAGAAAGACAAATTAAATATTATTAGAGGTGGTCAATGAGCAACATATAATAAAGTTATTCAAGTTAATGAACCTAAAAACAATGTTAAGTCTTTTAGTAATATAGTTAGACTAGTGGAACTTGCCAGTTATTTTGAAACTCTTTAGTCAGTTGGAATAACAAGAAGCAAGTCTTTGTTTCCTTTTCAACTACTGAAGCAGAATACATTGTTGCGGTAGTTATTGTGCTCAAATATTATGGATTAAACAACAATTGTTTGATTTTAACATCAAACTTCAACGTATTCCTATAATGTGAAACAATATTGGTTCTATTAACCTAACTAAAAATCATGTGCTACACTCACGTACTAAACATATTGAGATATGTCACCATTTGCTACCCGATCATGTTGAAAAGGGGATGTCGTGTTTGAGCGTGTAGATATCCAAAGTCAACTTGCCGATATTTTCACAAAACCTCTTGCAAACAAACT